ACGATCAGTTCTGGGCAGCACATTTTTAGTGAAATATATAAATATAAGAGTGCTTCAAAAGGAAGAACAACTGTATGAAAACTTCGGTTCCTTCAAAACATTCTTTATTTTAGGCCCCACCAATTCACACTGTTTTTCTCCTTGAAGATATCAAAGTTTTCATAAGACTAAAGGGAACTCTGATGTATATTCAAGATAAAAGGCAGCATTTTCTTAAATAACTTTGTGCAAAAATTGCTATACAAATGAAAGGTATTAAAAACACTAAAAATTTAAGCAAGTAGCTGATTAAGCTAGTATGACTTCAGGGAAGACTTACATACCTCTCTCTCCATCTGACTGCATTCAGCTTCACACTAGCTGGAAATGATCAATTCTGACTCTTCCCCCTCTCCATTTGAAAAGCAAACTCACTCCCATCCCACCAATCTCTCTGACTTTTACTTTCCTCTTCTATAAAACCAGGAATAACAATCAGCCCTACACACTTCACAAGGCTGATGTGACACTGAAAATTAGGAAGAGAAAATTCTTTGTAAACTCTATAGGCCCATGCATGACAAGGGATTGCCATTACTAGAACATTTCTCGAGCTTTCCCTCTCCTCTAGGCCCTTCCCCCTTCCATTTTTTCCACTTCATACTTTTGTGCAAGGGTAAAGCACAATAAGCTAAATACTGTTGAGAGGTAGACCCACCTAGTGACAGGAGACACTCTCTTCAGATATCAGAAAAACTAAGCTTTGATCAAGGATTCTTGGAAAGCAGGAGACTCAGTTGGCCTAGAACAAGTTGCAGAGATAGAAATAAGAGCTAGAGAGTCTAAGATTCTCCATCTCCTTCCCACTTCTTGGGGAAAAGCCACTGGGGCTGGATCCAGATGCTTTGTGAGAAGTCTTCTGAGGAGGCAGTTATTTTGGGAGAATAGGCTCAATTCCCAATTGTGTCCCTGTCCAGAGTAAGCACTCCAAAGGCCAAGGGGAGCAGAGGCCAAGATGGCAGACAAAGGCTAGGAGGAGGACATGATTTGGCACCATCCCCATAGCTGCCAGAGTGTGCCCTCCAATCACAGTCAAGCACTCTTAATCTGGGCTTCACCACAGGGCAGAAGAGCACTTTATTCACTGGCTCACTACAATCCCTCAGCTCCCTAGCCACTTAATCACACACATACAAGTGATGAGCAAATCTCAGCCAGGGCCCAAACCCTGCTGGCCAGCACAATAAGCTAAACTGGCCTTCCCAATTTGCCTAGCCTTCCCAGTAAAAGAAACTATCCAGAGACCAACAACATAAAAACAATTGCCCTCACATTTCACACTGTAGCTGAACTAGGTTCCCTAAGCCACAAACAACATTGGGCACACTGTGCAAGTAGATGTTGCAGGTTCTGATAAATAGAGGCTGTCTCAATAGGGAAAAGCACTCTCAGTTTGTTTCTACCACACTATCACTTCACCTCTTCCTTGCCTCAGCCAAAAGTCAGGGTGAAAAAAACATTTTTTTCAGGGCCTACAGACCTCCTTGCACTAAAGTTGGGCTGTGATATGGCTCAGTTAATCTTAAGGAGAAGGCAGTAACTCAATGGGGATTTTAACCCAGGAGCATTCCAATAAACAATCCCCGTGGCTGGGAGAAGGCTAAACTCAGAATGCCTTCTGTGCATGTTTTCTAGTCAGGCAATGAGTATCGTGCTCTTTGTCCTCTCTCCCAAAGCATCTCTCCAAGTCCTGTTGGACTCAAGCCCCCTTTCTCCAAAGGCCTGGTGCCTGGACATTTAAAGGATGAGATCTGGAGCTCAGCAGGAGCTGAGTGATGCAGTGGTTGCTAGGATACTGGCTGAGGCTATTTTATTGAATCCCCCATAGGGAGCTGGAAGCCAAAATTCCTGAGCTGGAATTTTGCCCCTCTTAGTAGCAAAAGGTATCCTCTACCCAAAGTGGTTAGAGAAGGGGAAAAGAAAAGAGGAACTGTATTGGGAAATTTTAGGACAAATCAGAGAGAAAAAGCCCTCTTTTCTTTCTTATCTACCCACTGACAGATGTATCAGGCAAGGGAACAAAGGGAGAATGGGGAAGATGAAGAAAAGAGGCAGGAAAGAGAAGAAACAAGAGTCAAAATGCAGAAGATTCCATTCCTTTGGCTGCATTTTTCATTTTCTCCCACTCTTCTCTTTTTGCATACCCTCATAAGTCTGAAGGAGAAATGCCAAACCTTTAGGATTCACAGAAGTAAAAAGTCACACTTCCAACTTTGGTTTTCTACTCCTCAAACACCCTTTTAGCTGCTCTAGGGTGGCCTGCCATCTGGCTAGCAACATTCCCTTAACTGCCTAGAGATAAATTAATCTGAAAAATGCTTGCCGATTATGCCAGTTAAATTACTGATGGAAGGGCTCATTCAAGCTACCCCTTTAGTCTGAGGGGTTGTGGGGGTTGGTGGGAAGACTGGCAGGGGGAACACCCATCCATCCTATACAAGGAGGCCATTCAGAACTGTGGAACTCAATGCATTCCCTTTTGTTATTCCTCATTCCTTGCACAAGCAACCACCATCCACATTCATGAGTGTACACGCCCCCACACACAGACAGAAGGGTGTGCACACATACACATGAACATACTATCACACAACCTACACACATACATTCCCATAGGATTTCTACCAAGGGCCTGTCAGGCACCCAGTCCTGAAGGCTGTGGCATTTCATGACACTACTTTGTCATAAACCTGGCTCAAAGACCAGCTTTAGAGAGAACCCTTCTCCCCTCAGGGGAAAAGCAAAAGCAAAAAATAAAAAACCAAACAAAAAAAAACACATTCCATTCTTATAGTGGCTTTCTCACATAGTTAGGTGAAAAAAAATCTCTTAGGTGAAACAAATTTCTCTAGATACCAGCAAAAAGATATTTCTTCCCTCCACCTTCCATCATCCTTTGATTAAAATTTTGTTTTCCTTTTCACTTGTCATTACAGTTCACCCCCTCTGATTTCAAGTGTCTATGGGCACCAAAAATCACAGAATGCAAGAACTTGGAGGTCACTTAGTGTAACCATCCCCAAATGCCAATGTTACAGGGATCCCCAAACCCACTGAGAAGGAAAAAAAATGCCCAAGGTCAAACAGCCACTGAACAGAGAAAACCCAGGTCTTTAGTGCCCAGCCTAGAGCCTTTCCTCACTCTTCAAAACTTTCTTAGAACAAAGTGCCCAGTCAAAATATAAATTTACTTTATATAATACCACTGGAGCTAGGGGGGAGGGAGATCTCACTAAATTCTCATTGCAAAGAAACAAGTTCTTAGTTCAACTCAGGGGGCCCCCCACAAAGGAGTACATAAGTACCAGTGCCAGCAAAATGTCCAGATCATGCTCATACCAGGGTACCAATCAAATTAAAAAATCAGCTTCTCGCCCACACCACGCCAAAGAGAGCAGACCTCAAAACTCAAAACCTCTTCTGATGCCATTAAATAAAACTCTCCGGGTTCTGAGGTCAGGATAACTTCAAGAGCCCCCTTCATAGCCCATATCTTTTCATAATCAGTTCCCAAGAGATTAAACAACAGAACATGGAACTTGAGAGCACAATTCCAGCAGATTTGCACATCACACATGAGCAGCCGCCCACATGGGTGTAGGAGGAACATGTGTGTGGATGTGTATGCGCCCTGATTCATTGCTACATGAGCCAGAAATGGCACTATTTCTAGTCAGGTAAGCAAGGGAATGAGGAAGACTTGCCTACATCAGCAGGTAGGAGAAGGGAGGAAAACAAGTATGCACATTGGTGTCAGAGACATCTTTTTCTTGGCTTTGCCAAGAGCTTTCTCAGCAAAAGCAGAAATATAAAAATAATAGCAATAATAACAGCAACCACCACCATCACCAGTGATACAAACACGCAAATATATAGCAAATTAGAATGTTGTTTCTAGCTCATGGTTTCCACACTCACACCCCATTCCATCCAGACTTGGGGGGGGTGTCAGTGGTGCTCAAAACTCTACTTAGTAAGATACCTACTTTCATTGTTATGGAAATCTTTTAATTAGAGAGACTTCTGGTCTTAAAGAACAAACAAGTAGGCAAACAAAAACCACCACTTTCTCATTAGCACTAGAGCAAGTTCTATTTAAAATGTAGTTCAAGCACATCATTGCAAATGAGATTACCCCAAAGAGGCATATCCAAATACTATTATTCCCAAGGTGGGTAAAGAGCTGGCTTTTCTTGTTTTTTTGGAGGACACACAGAGAATACCCCCAGATTCAAATCCAGGGGTAGTCTTTGGGAAAAGAAACCCAATAAAAGCTCATCAGTGTCTTCTCTTACCAATTCATAACGGCCAGGTAATGCTTTTACATCCCATTCCATAATTCCAAAAAAATGAGATTTAATGCTTTAAGAAATGTTTTAAAGGTGGCGTCTTTCCAAATTGAAAGCTGTGAACCCTGGACAGCAAATTGAGATTCAAAGGACAGAGTCACCAACTGCCAGCTCAATGCACCCCACCACATCACTTCTCAAATTTTCCCTTCTATTAGAAACTAAAGAATCATTTCCCTAAATTCATTCATTCCATCATTTTTTTCTTCTAAACATCCAGTGCAAGACTGTCTTTTCTAAGATGTCAAAAATCCATCATGCTCTTCCCACAAGCCCCCTTAACCCCAAACAAATCCAAATACAGTCCTGATAGCAAGAGAGAAATTTTGACTAAAATTCCCTCATGGAATTTAAAGATAGTTTTCAAGAAAATGAGTTGACAAGACATCACAAACAGCCAAAGCCACTGTTTAAGGATGCAGAGCTTGTTCCGTGAACGTCACATAAATGGAGAATGCACACACACACACACACACACACATGCACACTTAAATAGAAAGCATTTCTTTATCAACAATTTTACTCAAGCAATAAGCAACTACACTCATAGGCATACTTAAAAGACAAGACACGACAAAAGATTTAGGGAGAGATAATATACCAACGTCATACATATCACAGCGAGGCCATGTTGCAGCTCAAAACGTTTTCCCCCCTGAGTAAGAAAGCTTGCTCTTTCTCTCCCTCTCTTTCCCTGTTTCTGACTGTCTCTCTTGATTTTTTTCTCGGTGGTTCTCTGGATGAAATCAAATCGAGAGTTAGCAACAGCTCAGATGGCTGGACTCCATTCAGCGCGTTCCCAGGAAAAACATGAGTATGACATTGACAAGCAGGAGGACTACAATTACAGCAAAAACGACTACAGTTTGCACATCCAGGGTCATGGTGCAATGCAGAACACTGTAGTGTTCCAGGTGGGGGGCCGGCAGATTGGGAGATGTCAGTCTCTGTTCTGTCAGACTGTCCATACAGCCACCATTCTAGAAAGGAGAGGAGGAAGTCGGATGGTTAGGGAAGGGTTGGGTTTGGTGCCCGAGTTTGGTATGGGGGGAGGGGGAGGGGAAAGAGGGGAGCTTGTTTCACCCCTTCTCAGGATTGAGCTGATTTTTTCTTCCCTAGCTGAGAAATCTTAGCTTGCGCTGAAGTCGGCAGAGTCCAGCATTCTCTCTCGGGCGCCACGGAAAAGGCAAAATCCTGGCTTTCAAAGGGAAAGGCGGGAGGAACCAGTGCGAGGTTCTCCAGCGCCTGCTCAGTCTGTCTGTCCCGGCGTGTGTCCGTCTGCCTGCCTGGCTACCGGTCAGTCTCGGTCTCCCCTACTCCCTCTAGTTCGCTTGCTTTCCTCCGCTTGCTAGCTCTCTTCGTGGGGCTCCTGGTTGCCAGCCACACCTTACAACCCTGCCTGCTGGCTCTCTCCCTCTCCTTTCCCAGCCCCCAGCTTGTAGGCTGAGTTTTTATTCACCAAGCGCCTGCAGGCGCCTGCGTGAGGTGCAGCACCAGCCGTTGACAGGCCCGCTGGCCAATAGCAGGTGCTATAGCAGCACGGTTACTCTCTGGGGGGCGGAACTTAGGCTGGCGTGCTAGCGGAGAAAACCAATTGGAGGGCTCAAGGCACCCCAAGCAATCTTGCTTCATTTTCAGGAGCCACCAGCCTCGGTTCCGGTGTGGGGGTGGAGAGCTTGTTCTAAGAGGATTGAGGGGGATGTAGGGAGAGAGAGTGGAGGGACAGAAAAGGACTTGGAAAGAGGAAGGGAGTAGATGGGATAGGATGTGGCAAGAGGGAGGGAGGAGGAAATAAGGGGAAGACCCTGGGGAACAAGGGAAAAAGAGAAGGAAAGATGGGAAGGAGGAAGAAGAGATAGGGGGTAACATAGAGAGAAGGGTTGTACTAAGGAAGGAAAAGGGATGGGGAAAAAGGAAAATAAAATGTTTAAATAGGATAGGTAGATGGGGAGGAGCTATGCCTTGGCAGCCACTTTGTTTGGAGCCTGGACAAGAAAGAAGCAAAGCTGCCTTTGGCCCCTGCTTAAATTTTTACAGGCAACTCACAATTAGGTATACAAACTCAAAAACAATGATACTCTACAAATTATCCAAAATCCAGTTTCACTTGGCTTTCTCTGATATCTCCACACTTGCAGGTCAGATTTCCTTTCCTATTTATGGTTTCTTTTAGATGATGGTGGCTTGCACTTTTTCAGCACGCTGGGTAGTATAAAGGGAAGCCTCCATAAAACTTCCAATCTACTTGTAATCACTGTGCTGCTCTGTGTTTATGACTCTGCCTGAACTAGGGAAGAGCCCTGGACTAGACACCAGAAGTTTCAGATTTATTCCCAGTACTACCTGAAGCTTGTTGTATGGCTTTTGTGCAACTTCTTTGCCCTCTCTGCCTCCATCTCCCTTCTGTCACATGAGGACTTAGACCTATCTGATAATTCAGTGAAACCTCTGAACTCTCACCTCAGAAAAATATAATTTTAATAGACCCCCTAGGCCCTCAAAAACTCAGGACTCCCTTAAACAGAAATTTGTCCAAGGGCTCTTCTTACTCTTACATTGTAAAAGTGAACAGATAGATATTGGTGGAGCGGGTCAATAAACTGAATTAGCCAGAGACAGAACAAATTCAATTCTGGAACTTCTACCATACTACACACTCTAAGAGGAATGAAAATTGCTTTCTATTCTTTAGAAATCTTTTGAGGCTGGGTCAGTTAAGTCATACATCTTAACTATATGATTGAAAATTCTGAATGAATGCAGGTCATAAACAAAGTGGCCGCTGGCCCTATAAGATAGAATAAAACCCAAAGAAATCCCCACTTTAAAAGTATGGGCTTGCCCTGGCTGGGTAGCTCAGTTGGTTAGAGCACTGTCCAGATATACCAAGGTTGCAGGGTTTGATTCCTGGTCAAGGCACATACAAGAATCAACCAATGAATGCATAAATAAGTGAAACAACAAATCAGGCTCTCTCTCTCTCTCTCTCTCTCTCTCTCTCTCTCTCTCTCTCTCTTCATTCTTCTCTCACTAAAATAAATCAATAAAAAATAAATAAATAAAAGTTTTGTTTCATAGCACCACCTATGAATGATTCATGACAAAAAAACTCTGACTTCTATCAAGTTTCTAGATCCAATTATCAATTTATAGAATGGAGGACAGGAAAACATGTTAAACTGCAATCCTGGAATACACGCTGTACAAAACTATAGGACCAACAACCCAGTTCTTAAGCAAATAAATAGGAAGGAAAAGGAGAGACTGAATGACTCATGTGAAACTTGTGCATGTGTACGCATACACACACACACACACACACACACACTTGTGATATTTATGAAACAACTGGAAATTTGAACAGACTGAATATTTGATTATATTAAAGAATTACTATTAATTGTTGTGGCTAGGTTTAACAAAATGGGGAGAATAGTGTAAATCTTTGTGACTTTTGATTTGACAATTGTTTCTTAGAAATGACATGAAAAGCATAAGCAACAAAGGAAAAACTAGATACTGGTAAGCTGGATTTCATCAATATTAAAAACTTTTTGTACTTCAAAGGACACTATCAAGAGTGTGAGAAGAGAACCCACAGAATGGAAGAAAATATTTGCAAATTATATATCTGATAAGAGACTTGTGTCAAGATTAGAATATATAAAGAGTTATTACAAGTCATTTATAAATAGCAAAATGACCAAATTTAAAAATTGGCAAAAGAGCTGAATAACATTTCTCCAAAGAAATTGTCAATTAAGAACATGAAAATATGCTCAATATTAACCATCAGGAAAATGAAAATCAAATGCAGGAAATGCAAATGCAGGATATTACTATAGCATTACTTGTAATGATATATAACTCTACACCCTCTAGAATGGCTATATAAAAAAGCTAGATAACAAATGTTGAGGAAGATGTGAAAACATTAGAACCTTCATAACCCTGCTGGTGGGAATGTAAAATGGTGAAGCCACTTTGGAAAACAGTCTGGCAGTTCCTTAAAAAGTGAAACAGAGTTAATATTTGAGCCAACAACTCCACTCCTAGGAGAAAAAGAAAGCATGTCCACATAAAAACTTGTACATGAACATTCATAAGAGCATTATTCAATTCACAATGGTCAAATGATGGAAACAACACAAATGCCAATCAAATGGTGAATGGATAAACAAATGTGGTATATCAAAAGAATGGAACTTAGAAAATATTATAAGTGAAAGAAGACAGACACAAAAGGCTTTTATCTGATTCCATTTATAAGAAATGTCTATATGGTTAGGGTAAATGCTATTTAATATAGCTTTTGTTTCAGATTTACATAAATATTAATGTGCTAGGTTATGATGTAAAAGGTATTTCTTAAAGCAGATAATGATCAAAATAATTTGAAAGCCACTCTTCTAGATTATGTTGAGACAGATACTGGTGATCAAGATGGTACTATAATGTAAGCAACTAGAATCTTTTTTTAAAAAATATATTTTATTGATTTTTTACAGAGAGGAAGGGAGAGGGATAGAGAGTTAGAAACATCGATGAGAGAGAAACATCGACCAGCTGCCTCTTGCACACCTCCTACTGGGGATGTGCCCGCAACCAAGGTACATGCCCTTGACCAGAATCTAACCTGGGACCTTTCAGTCCGCAGGCCGACGCTCTATCCACTGAGCCAAACCGGTCTAGCAACAACTAGAATCTTTATCCTTGACTTTAAAAGTACAATCTTATCCTGTCTCCACTGACCTTTCAAACCACTACAGCCTGGCTTTCACCCCCTCATACCATAGGAAACTAAAACTTCTTCTGAATATAAACAAATTACCAACATGTTGCTAACTCTCATGGCCAATCTTTATCTTCCCTGACTTCTCTCCCACTTGACTCCCTATGCCTTCCTCCTCCCTGAAATGTTCCTTCTGCCTTGGGAACATCAACCACATGTCCTGTCTGGATATATTGTCTTTACTTACTGCCTAGGTTCTTCTTCATCCAGTCATTAAGGCCATGATTTCTCAGGGTTCTTCTAATTTCAGTCCCCCTTTCTTCTCATTCCACACATGCACTGAATGATGGGCCCATGCATCCCCAAGACTTGAACTACCATCCACATTACACATGATGCTCCTCCTTTCAACAAAGTTACTAGACACCAGTAGGGAACAAAATAGACATAGGCCCTTACCTGCATGGAGCTTACAACTCTGCTGATTACCCTCAGGTAGCTCTCTTCTCTTGAACTCCAGATATTAATCTCCAACTGCCTTTTAGATATCTCCTGAATATTTCAGGTGAACTTTACACTTAGTAAGTCCAAAATTGAATTAATCTTCTCCCACCCCTACCAGCTTCCTCCTTCCCATGAGTTCTCTCTTAGGACACAGAAATATCCAAAACTAAGGAGCTATCTATACCTCTTGCCTCTCCCTCACCTTTATGCTAGCCATCCAGTCTCAAGTCCTGATGATTATCTTCCTCTTTAATATCATTCTCATGTGTCCTTTCTCTCTCTCCCTGCTGCCCATACTCAATTCCTCATCATTTCTGATCTATTACCATTCATTATGTGGTCTCTTGTGCTGCTCTCTGTCCCCAATTCAGCCTCTACTCTCCTGCCCAACTCATCTTTTTCAAACATAATTCTGCTCTTATCAATCCTATGGTTGCTACTATAGATTGGTTGCTCAAGATCCATGCCACCCTCCTTCTAGCATACCTCCTTATATTGCTGAAAGCTAAAAAACAAACAAGCAAACAAACACTAAAACAAAAACTTGTCATTTCTCAGACTCTTTTGCATCCAGTGTTCTGGACATGATTCATTTCTACCAATCAATACGCACATGCACAATACTTAGAAGGAGGTGATGCAGAGGCCATATTTCTGCTGCTTCTGTTGGCATGAACAATGGTGGAAGTTTTAGGTTTTCTCCACCATGTTACCTTTCGATAGACTCCAGTGTCTGGTCACTGGCTTTGTGCCTTTGGATCAGCAGAAAATTGAATATATATACCTTTGTCATTGAAGATCTGGAAGGCATGATGATAGTTAAGACAGTGGCAGATTCCATAGTTAAGGCAGTGCCAAGGATTCCAAGATGGCTGCAGAGAAGGTGGAAGCTACATTCACCTACTCCCAGTGTCAAACTGAATTACAGCTAAATTACACAGCAATCAACCTGAATAACTAACTGAAGGCTACCTGAACTGAAATATTATAACCAAAGATTTACAGAAGAAATCACATAGAGATTGGTAAGAAGGGCAGAAATGCTGAAAGGGCTGGTCCCTACACCCATGTGCAATGGCTGAAAGCTGGAAGTATATTTGGGCTGCAAAACTCCCTCCCTGCCAGGAGCATGGG